AAATCACAAGTTTAGTTGAGGAATTAGATTTGATGGTTGAAACAAAATCCGATTTCATGGTCAAACTAAAAGGAGATGAAGAGCCACACAATAACAATGGAACAAATAATGCTGTCATTGGCCAAAAGAGAAAGAGAGACTGAAATTGATAAATTTGCTAACCTATCTATCATCTATCAAAAAAACTTTTTAACACGTTAATAAGTACATTTATATTTCTTTTTATGCTTGACAATTGCTGGTTGTGATTCGCTATGGAGATAGAGTTTCTTCTCTGTATTTAAAATGTTAACATATTTGGGGATTTGATGGTAGGCTAGATTATTTTATTTTGAGAAGCTGTGAGCATTGGGTTTGAAATTTAGGGTGTGATTAGTTGTAAATATAAATTTGATTTCGGGCAAAATGAATTTCTTGAAGATCTGTATAATAATAATGATGCCTTCCTTCTCTTAAACTTGATTACTCCAATCCATACCTAAATCTCCCCTAAGGATTTTCTTCAAGACCATAATGTGGCTCATATAGTAGGAGTTAGGGTTGCATACGAACAGAGTCGAGTCAAACTTTGGTCTAATCGAGCCGAACCTTAACTTAGTTTTATTGAATTTAAACTCAAACTCGAGCTCAAGGAGCTGACAATTTTGAAACTGGAGCTCGAGCTCAAAAAATAAAAACAATTATTTTATTTTTTAAAAAATAAATAAAATAATATTTTTTCTTAATAAATATTAAAATATTAATGATATATATGTAATTTTACTATTAAAATAAAAAAATATATATGTACTTGATTTGAGCTCGAGTTCGAGCTCGATTTCGACTCGGCCAACTTGAGTTCAATATTGATCGAGCTTGAGTCGAGCTTGACTCGAGCGGCTCGTGAACAGTTCGATTCGTTTGCACCCCTAGTAGGAGCTGAGCTACTTAGATGGAATCAAATCATGGCATCCTATGTTGAAAATTATGCAAATATAAGGGTAGTTGATTGTGATTTATCATTCCATGAAATCATACAGTAAGAATATTTCTGAAAGATGGAACGAATCTTCAAAATTGAATGCATGCTTTGGGAGAAGCAATTTTATGACTATGATGATGGAATTTCTTGAATTTAGAAATTGGAATTAGACTATTTGTTAGGCTAGTTTGTTAGTATAGTGGGTTTTGTTGAAATATGGAAGAAATCAATCGGCAAAATAATTTTTGTTTTATTTTTTGATAAAAAGGGTAGTTTAGGATTTTTGAGAAAAATATAGGCTTTTGGACCTATATTGTTATATAAATAGTAAAAGCAATGGATATAGGTGTAATTTAATAAACTTGAGAGGAGCTCTCTGCAATTGTCAGAATCTTAGGGGAGGTTTATGAAATTATCCCTTTTCGTATTCTTAAGTTTGAACTAATGTTTAATAGTATAAATGCACCATATGCTTGTGAGTTTGAATTTTCTTTCGAAATTTTGAGGAACTAATATTTGGAAAGTTTATTAATCAACTTTTTCTACCAAGGCACAATATTCTTCAACTCTAGAAATATTCGAATATAAATTATTACCTCATGAAATGTTTTATCAGGAGCTGATTAAGATGTAATTGGTCTATGTCCATAATACACTGGCTTCGGTAGGTGAGTGTGATGAGATCATCAATGATCTTACCACGTGATTTGAAGATTATAAGTATTATCTATAGTAAATCTGACAATTGTTAGGCCTCTTAAAACTAATGATTAGTCTAAGACCCTATTTGATAACTCAGTTCAGCATTTAAATTTAATGGATTCAAATCTTAATATATTCAAACCGTTGATAACAAAAAATTGAACATTTGAATAATTAAATGACACTGAATTTTTTAGACAAAATTTGCTCCCAAAATTAAGTGATAAACTATTCACTTATCACTGAATGTGATATACACTCAAATGTATTATATTTAATATTTAAGAATTCATTAATTTAATAGATTCAGACTTTAAATTTTAGATTTCAGATTTCAGTTTTATCAAACAACTCATTGGATGATCAAAAGATTTTGCTTTTACTTTGTTTTATGGGATAATAACATAAAACTCCCCTAAGGTTTCTCTTAATATCATCTAACACCTCTAAAGTTTTAAAAAATATTACTTACATCCATTTTGTTATTTGTGTTACAAAATTATTGAAAAATCTAAACTGTCCTTTCGCTTGCTAAATAAAAATGCTCTTAAGCCACTTTGTTTATTCCAAGAAAGCCATCACCTAAAAAACAATTTGTAGTAGTACCACTGCATCACAATGCTACAGTCCATAAAATATAAATTTAAAAAACAAAAAAGATATTTACAAAGAAAAACATTAGCATAATTTAACTCTATATGCTCAAAATTAATTTCTTATAAACCATTGTTTATTCCAAGAAAATCATCACCTAAAAACAATCTATAGTAGTACTACCACATCACAATGCTACAGTCCATAAAAATATAAATTTGAAAAGCAAAAAAGATATTTACAAAGAAATACATTAGTGTAATTTAACTCTATATGCTCAAAATTAATTTCTTATAAACCTTAGATTTTCTTCCAACTTATTGTCAATCCATGTCCAAGCCTTTAAATTATACTGATCATTATAAAAATCAATTCAAAATAATCAAAGAAATCATACCCCCACTCTATCACAATCACAAAATTTAAAAGATAAATAAAATTGAATTTACTATTACTTATAAATAAAAAAATCATATAGTCATCCAAAAAAAAAAAGAATAAGAAAGAATGTTGGAGAAAGAAGAAATAGAAGAAAGTGACTTGTGTTACCTTTTTTTTAAAATTTTTTGAGCTCCATTTATTTGATATGTGAATTACGTATTGAGAGTTAATCTAGTTTTTTTTTTTTTTTTGCAATTATTAGGGGACATAAGTGATATTTTCAAAACCTTTGGAGTGCCAAGTGATATTAGTAGAAATCTCAAGGAAGATTTTTGATATTATCCCTTGTCATGTTTGTTATACAATAAAATTTCTGCTCCAAAAAGCCATACAGGGCATTTGAAGCTATGCTGTTGCTGAGATGGTATAGTCCCTTGGCCACTCTCTCTGCACTCTTAATATCGGCCCTCCAATATCATAGAGTAATCAAATTATCACAAACCATTCACATTCAAAAAAAAGAAGTTTTGCGGATAAAGCAGTTCCTTGGCGCAACTATGCACCGCAACATCCTATCAGATGAAAGTACAGTTTTCCAAAATCAATCGTAGGGAATTTGGACTGTTATTCCTTCGAAACGAGGGATTTAATTACAAGTGTCCGTTGTTACAAATTTTCAGCTGTTCCCGAATTGGTGCAAATTCTACATCGAACTCATAGTTATCCTGCAACTCCCATGTACCAATTGCGTAGTCCTATGCTATGAATTGTTGTATAGGCATAATAAGATATAACTCAGAATACAAACCTTTTTTTGAATTATTGATCAGTAGCTTAAATACAATTTGCCAACACTAGATATTTGCTGTCTGGTTATTTGGAGAATAGATCAGTATAAGGTCCACATTTATACTTGAAAAGATAGGTAAAGAAGGCCTCTAACTAGAATGTGGAATAGCTACTGCAAATACAGGATTTTTTCTGTGGTTGGTGAGACCAGTGGCTTCAGACATGTACAAATCGTGTGGTTTAGCTCCATCAGTCCATGCAAAATCAAACTTGTATACCAATTTTGCCAATGCAAGCTCGTTGACAGCCACAACAAAGGTAGTACCAGGGCAACCCCTGCTTCCAGCTCCAAATGGAATCAACTCAGAGTTAAAACCTCGAAAATCGATCGTACTATTCAAGAACCTCTCTGGTTAAAATTCGGCAGGCTGATTCCAAGCAATGGATCTCGTAAAATTGCCCAAGCAATTACCATTACTGCTGCACCTGCTGGTATATCATACACCATTATCCTAACGTGTTTAGTTGATTCTCGACGAATGAAATAATGAGATTGGAGTATGAAGTCGTAAAGTCTCCTTGATCACTGCTTTCAAGTACTCCATTTTGTGTAAATCATCTTCAGTGATTTCCGATTTTCCTTCAGTTAATTGTCTTACCTCAGTTTGCAATTTCTCCAGGCCCCAGAAGTTCAGACATTGGCCACTCCATATTGAATCAGTCCTGCAGCAAACACGTCCTAATCATGGCATTTGAAAAAGAAAAAGGAAATGCTGTTTTATTGAAAAAAAATGACATTCAAAGTTGAAAAACTTATAGGATAAGAAGATAACCCTTATTAACGTCAAACACATCTTTTCTATTTCAAAGTTGACGTGGATTATATGATTGTTTATCTGAAAGTTGAATTGTATACCATAACAAAACAAAACTATAGGGTAGCATAATAATTTGTTCTATTTTTTGATACTCTGACATTGATTTTATCTCTCACTTACAATTAAAAAAATCTAAAAAGTGTGTCAAATCATGTCTCTAGTTTAGGTGGGGTGCTTACCTTTTCCTTAGGTGTATAGACTTCAATTTTGAAGGTTCTTGATAATATCAAGGAAAGGTTTATTTCCTTAGCTAAGGGAAATGTTTATTTCCCTCTCCAATATTAATAATATCAAGGTCACTGTAAAGCTTAACTAATACGATTAAAATTAATGACAATTATTTGTTAATTAGTGCAAAGCTTAACTTATACGATTGCTTAGTGCCTTAGTTGTCTTTTGATTTTCTTATTGAGCAATAAGAACGCAAACCAACCTGCTAGTGAAACATGAATTCACGAGTAACACTCTAATATTAAAGTGATAGACCATAAAAATAGTGAGTGTAGGCAACACTAATATCATCACCCAACCACATAGCTACCATCTCAATGTTACATATTTCAGGGAGAATTTCCAAGAGCTACATGCAGGCTAAATATAACAGGCAAGACAATTTACATAAGTTCTCAACTTGATCTTGTAAACCTTGCCCTAGGACATGCTAAACTTCTCTGTTCTCTGTGCCAGGAGAGAAACTAAGGAGAATATGGAGTGGCAACAACAAGTATAGGAAGTTTTCTATGCACATCGATGCCACCAGCTTCAGTCATGTCCATGTCCTCTAGTTTTCCTCCATCAAGCAAGGCAAAGGCAAATTTGCGCCGTAATTTTGCTAATGCAAGTTCATTGATAGCCATGGCAAAGGTCTTACTGGGGCATCCCCTTCAGCCGGCAACAAATGGGATCAACTCAAACTTTGAAAATCTAGACCAACATTCAGAAATCTCTCTGGCTGAAATTCCTCGGGCTTCTCCCAAAGCAAAGGGTCTCTTCCAATTGCCGCCCATGCGTTAACGATTAGTCGTGTTCGAATTGGTATGTCATACCCCATTACGTTGATGTCTCGAGTTGATTCTCGAGGAACTAGAAATGGAACTGGGAAATGAAGCCGCAGAGTTTCCTTAATTACTAGCTTTAAACACTGCATTTTGTCAAAATCATCCTCAGTTATCTCTGATTTTCCTTGGCCTATAGCTCTGACCTCATTTTGCAATTTCTCCATGACCTTGGGGTCTCTTAGAAGCTCTAACATCACCCATTCCATGACTGTATGAGTGGTATCAGTTCCAGCTGCAAACATGTCCTAATCATGCAAAATAGAAGCCAATTGTTAATAAGTTGATGTAAAGTGCAGTTTTATATATTATATGCCTTAAAGAGTGGTGATTTTTACCATGATCACGTGGGATCTTTAATCCAAAGTTGGACTTATATGTGAATAATTATGTATTATAAACTATTAAATAAGGTTAAATTCAATTAAAATAATTAATTATGGTTTGGGTTTTAATATATCTAATAGGATGTAAGCCTTTAATGTGTAGAAATTTAAGGGTAATTTCTATTTCTATGATGGGCTGAAATAGAAATCTAAAAAATAACAGAAAAGTTATCTATAAATAGGGTTATGATCTCTAGATCACACGTGTTCTTATTTGTCGTATTTTTAGTCCCTCAAAATAACTCTTTTCTAATATCCCATCGTTAGAAAAGATTGGTGGCTGTCAAACTACAAAAAATAAAATTTATATGAAGACCTACTCCCAAAACCGAGCGAATATAGTGGTGAGTAGGGTCTCCTCAGGGAACTGGTAGATTTATCACACACAGAGAATTTGGGGGGTTTTAGAAAGGAAGATAAAGAACAAATTAAAGATGTAAGGTTACTGAATTTTCAACTGCAAGAAGTGCAGTAACTACAGAATACAATAAACAATTAATTGATACAACCTAGTTAAGGAGATAATTTCGGCACCGGCACACGCAATTGATCATAGATACCTGAATCAATTCACACGTTCGCAAATAAATTGGTTAAAGCAATTTAACAACTTCCAAACTACCAATCTCTTCTTAATTATATGGTGGTTCACAGATGCTCATAAACCACTCCCTTATAAAATAGACAACCCCAAAGACGCTTGTGGGATTTAATCTATTCACAACTTTAGGAATTAGAGAGACCCGATTCTAATTAACAAACACATGTGGGAGTTCATTTAAACTAGATTAACTATTCCGATGATCCAGATTAAATTACTTGCGAGGCAATGAAATTGTGCCGTTTGCCACTAATTTTAAGACGATCAAGTGATACGCTCCCCCGTCTTAATTGGCAGTATACTATTCAGACAATTGAATAATTGGCCACATTAATCCAATAGATCCAAACAATAATAGCCTATTGAAACAAAAAATAATTAAATACCCACGAACACAGAATTCAAAATAGCGCAAAATAATTAAAAAGATCTCACAATTGTCTGTGCACCGAACTTTGATTATTCCTCAACTAGATAAAGGAGTTTAGCCTTGCCTCATGATGAAGACACAATCCAAAGCTTTAATGTAATTTTTGTTCATGAAAAAAGTAAAGCAACTCGAAATCCCAACTCACGTTAGGAAGAAAAGAAAAAGATGACAAGTCCGTCTACTAGTCGGTTGCTTTTGCTCTTTTAAAGTAATTTCGCTGTCGCCGTCGCCGCTCTTTCCTTATTTTTCTCCTTGAGTTGTTGCCAAAAGAGTCTCTGAAGATGTTTCCTAATCCTACGTAGCTTCAGAACGTATCTCCCAACAGTAGTGGCGGCTTCCAAGAATAAGTCTGCGGTCCGTCCTTTTCACACAACTCTGCGGTCTTTGACATAGGTACGCTTTGGAACGACTAGTCTTCTGGAATTTGGCCTCTTTTCATCACTTTTGACACCAATCATCTGCAACTAACACAAATACCAATTACGAGTAGAAACCCATTACTTTACATAATAAATGGCTAAAATTGAGATCAAATATCATCAAATAAAATACACAATTGTCTCACTATCAAATCCCCCCACACTAAGACAATGCTTGTCCTCAATGGAGTAAAGAAAAATAGAAATAAAAAAGAAAGGAATGGGAGCTTCCTTAAAGGCCAAACAAGTGCACGAAAGCATTATGGGGGAGGAGGGTGAGGCGATTGAAAGCTAATGTGGGCAAAGAAGGCTACCAAATTTTCTATCTAAATAGTAGAACGGACCTGCAAGGCTGCGAGGCAATCATCCAAACGCTCAACTCGGTCGCCCAACTCATGAATGGAATTCTGCAGAGTACAGAATTGGGTGTCCCAAGAGAATGGAGCAGTGGAGAAGGAAGGACCTTCCTGACCAGTCTCTGAGGTGGGCTCAATAAGAGGGACCCGGGGTTGGGGCACACTATCTCCTGGAGGTGTTATCTGATAGGCATCACCCACCTTGCGAATAACACCATTCGCTCCAAACTGTACAGGTCCAAAGGCTCAAGCTCGCGAGCCAAGGTGAGCTTGTGGTCCTTATCAAGGTCCAGCACACCCAAATGGACCGCCAAATGCATGATGAGCGAACCCATAATCAAGGGCTTATGGCGCTTGTGAAGGATGAACTGCAACTGAGAGGCCACCTAACAGCCAAAGTTGACCGGCACCTTATTACGCATACACCAGAGGAAATAGAGAAAATAGAATTCCGCTTTGGCGAGAGTGCCAGAGGAATCCTTCCATCCCGAGAAGTTATAGGCCAGAAACCTGTGAATGACTTTCAGCACTGGATTTTTGAGATACAAGGCCCTAGACTGACTCAGGTCGTAGAACTGAGTGTCTGTGGACCACTCCCTCCATATTTCGATATAGTTGCTCGCAAAGGGTTAAGTGAAGTCACAAGCGCTATTGATATAAGTCCCAGAGGTAAGGGTGTCCTCACTCACAAACCCCAAAATCAAGTTAAACTCATTAATGGAATGCTCTTGTGGGGTACCCCGCAGCCTATATTTGATCACCCCCGGTGTGTCTAAAGCTAGAAAATCAAACTTCTTAAATTGGAAGGTGGTGTAAAATTCATAACAAAGTTACTCATACGAAGGATAGTTAATATCCAGGTATTGATCCCACCAAATGGCAGAAAGCAACTGCTCTACTTCCCTAGCAATGTTCAACTAGTCGAGAGTCGGGGGATGGAAACACTTACATGGGGTGAATGGACGCACCACTAAGGAGCTCAATCATTCCTTCTGCTTCGGGGTGAGATCCTTTAGAGGTTTCTCCCACACCCCAGGAGACAAAGTACTCCTAGACAGTCCTAATTGGGACCTAGTGGGAGGTTGAATCGGGGCCCGCTTCTTCCGAGAGTTGGAACCTGATGCATCAGAAGGGGTGGCTTTTTTTGAAGCCATATAAGGGCAAAGATGTCTATTACACAAGCACAGAGCCGACAAGAAAACACCAAATAGAGAGAAGAGACCACAAATGACAACACCCACAGTCAACGAACAATTGATGGAGAAGAAACAAAGATACCCCACTAGCGTCACCAAGGCAAATAAAAGTGATAAAGGCAGACACGGAACGCTCCCGAAATATAGTCAACAATCAAATTCACCCAATCACAACCAACAAATATCCCCAACCCAATAAGAGGATGAAATTAAACAGGAGAAACTCTATTTTTGAGTCACTAGTTGGAAAAAAGAAGAGTAGATAAGGGTACCACTCTGCAAAGCCGCGGAGATCAGCTACAGCGAGCGGATTCCAGCGACGGTCGGGGCGGCAGTTGGAGATGGCAGCGGCGGATGTCCGTGGGTTGCGTGTAGGAAATCGAGAGGCAGGGTGGCAAAAGGATGGCGGTGGCACGCTCAAAGATAATGGGTTGCGTTGTGGGTGAGGCGGTAGTGTGCGCGAGGAGGAAGTGAGCAGTGGCGGATGTTGGTAGTGGCGGAGGGCCGCAGTCGCGCTTGAGAGAGAGAATCAGGCAGTGACGGAGCGGCGATAGCATCGACATCAATCGCACAAGAAAGAAAGAGACGCGTGCAGTGGCGGCGATGGCGATGGCGACGATGGTATGCTGCGAAAATGGGGGGAACCAGGGAAGACAAAAGGAGAAAAGACAAGAAAAGAAAAGAAAAAAATAGAAAAATAGGGTTTAGAGTGGGTCCAGTCACTTTTTACTTTTGTTGTCGCAATGATTGGAAGGCGCGGGCATGCTCTGGAAGCCGAAGTCATCTGCCTCCCTTGTTGTAACAGGACCAATGCGATTCATTGTGCGGCGTGGGCACGCCTTAGAAGCTTAAGTCTTCTATTCATCAATGTTTAAACGCACCCATTTGCATTTAACACAATGTGTGAGCACGTCTTGGAAGGGAAAGTCTTCTGCCCAAGAATATTGCCTCTAATCTAAAATTAAACTTCACAGGACATATCCATGACCTGAAATAAAGAATTTCTGTCAATAGGAACCCAAACACCCTAATTTTGAACACATAAATATGAAATAAAAACACAAACATGACTAAAAATTGAAACTTTTGGATTGCCTTCCAAGCAGTGCCTCTATTTAACGTCTGTGGCTAGACCAAAAGTAATTTAACAAATTAATTAGAATAGGGGTCGAGCAAATGGACCTCCTCCATAGTGCCAATTTCTGAAACATCAATAAACGGCTTGAGATGATGACCATTAATCTTAAAACTTTTGCCAGTCTCTAAGTTTCTAATTTCAACTACACCACTAGAAAAAACGTTGGCAATCACATATGGTCCAATCCATCGGGACTGCAACTTACATGGCATGAATTTCAACCGAGAGTTTGTGCGTTCTTTGTAAAATCGTGCATTGTCGCAAGCCTCCAAGCAGATCTCCTCCTACTCTTGAAGTTAGAGCTTTCTTTTCTTGCCGTCTCTATCCGTGTTCAAATTACACTGTTTAACTACTCAAAATGCACAATGTTCAATTGCAACAGGTAAATTACACATCTTATCATAAACCAACCTATATGGAGACATTCCGATTGGTATTTTATACGCCGTGCAATATGCCCACAATATATTATCCAGTCGGGTACTCCAATCCTTGCGATTTTGGTTGATCATTTTCTCCAAAATACTTTTAATCTCGTGATTAGAGACCTCCGCATGCCCCTTGGTCTGCGGGTAGTAGGTAGTACTAACTTGATGGTAAACTCCATACTTACGCATCAATACTTCAATGGTGCGATTGCAGAAATAAGTATCTTGATCACTGATAATCGCTCTTGGCACACCAAACCTACTAAAGATATTGGATTTAAGAAATCTTGCAACGACTCGTGAGTCATTAGTTCGGGTAACCTTTGTTTCTACCCATTTTGATACATAGTCTACTGTTAACATAATAAAAAGAATACCAAAAGAACTGGAAAACGGTCCCATAAAATCCATACTCCAAACATCAAAGATTTCACAAAATAACATAGGAACCTGAGGCATTTCATCTTTGTGGGATAAACTCCTAAACTTTTGGCATTTTTCACATCTTTTTGCAAAACAAGTAAGCATCATGAAACAAGATTTGCCAATAAAAGTCATAATCAAGTATTTTTTGAGTAGTTCTTATAGGACCAAAGTGACCGCCACAAGCATAATTATGACAATGAGTAAGTATAGATTGAATTTTTTCATTTGAAACACATCGACGAATAATCTGGTCAGAGTTTATTTTTCACAAATAGGGCTCATTCCAATTGTAATATCGAGAGTCCAATATTATTTTATCCTTCTTATTCTTACTCATACCACTTGAAAATTTGTGACTAACCAGAAAGTTAACAATATCAGCATAATAGGGTTCCTCACCTCTAAATTGAAACAAGTGTTCGTCTAAAAATATCTCAAATATGGGCACTCTCCCTTCTTCTCGAATCAATCGGCTCAAATGGTCTGCCACTGAATTATCTACCCTCTTTCGATCTTTGATCTCCCAATCATATTCTTGCAGCAGGAGTATCCAACGAATGAGTCTTGGTTTGGACTCCTTCTTTGCCAAAAGGTATTTCAAGGTTGCATGATCAGAGAAAACTGTTACTTTCGATCCTAATAAATACGATCGAAATTTCTCAAAAGCAAAAATAAGTGCTAAAAGCTCCTTCTCTATGGTGGTGAAGTTGCATTGAGTCGGCGACAATGTTTTTTACGCATAGCAAATGACATGCCTACACTTTTCACTTCGCTGACCGAGCACAGCTCCCACTGCATACTGACTAGCATCACACATAAGCTAGAATAACATGCTCCAGTCCGGAGGTTGAATGATTGGTGTCGTGGTCAACATACTTTTTAGTGTATCAAACGACATTTTACACGTATCTCCAAAATCAAATGGTGCCTCCTTTTGAAGTAGTCGGGACAATGGTTGTGCAATTCATGAGAAATCCTTGATGAATCATTTGTAGAATCCTGCATGCCCAAAAAAACTACGAATCTCCTTGATATTAGTAAGGTAAGGTAAGCTAGTAATCAAATCAACCTTTGCTTTATCAATTTCGATACTCCTAAACGAAATGAACATGACCTAAGACTATACATTCCTTAACCATAAAATGACATTTTTCATAATTAAGAACCAAATTTGTTTCAATGCATCGCTGTAAAACTTTTGTTAAATGATACAAGTATTGATCAAACGAATCACCGTAGACTGTGAAATCATCCAATGAATATGTCAATATAATTTTCAATCATGTCAGAAAAAATACTCATCATGCATCTTTGAAATATTCCTGGAGCATTACACAACTCAAAAGGCATATGGCGATGGGCAAAAGTGCCAAATGGGCAAGTGAAAGTGGTTTTGTGCTGGTCCTCCTGGGTAACAGTGATTTGATAATACCCAGAATAGCCATCAAGGAAGCAAAAAAAAAAACACTTACTTGCCAATCGCTCAAGCATCTCATTGATGAATGGTAATGGGAAATGATCCTTCCTTGTGACCGCATTCAACTTCCTGAAGTCTATACACATTCTCCACCCATTTTAGAGTCTCATTGGCACCAACTCATTCTTCTCATTCCGCAAAAGTGTAATTCTAATCTTTTTAAGGACGACATGCACTGGACTTACCCACTCGCTATCGGAGATAGGAAAAATAATTCCTAACTCCAATAGTTTGAGAATCTCCTTCATTACCACCTCTTTCATGGCTGGGTTAAGTTTCCTCTAATGTTCCCTTACCGATTTTGCATCTGGTTCAAGTAGAATATGGTGCATGCAAATGGATGGATTTATACCTTTGATATCTGCCAACATCTATCCAATTGCAGGTTTAAATTCTCGCAACACTCTTAAGAGTTTTTCTTCTTGTACTGCTGTCAGATCACTTGCAACGATGACCGACAGAGTGTTATGATCTCTCAGAAAAGCATACTTCAAATGCTTTGACAATTCTTTTAATTCCAACTTGGGTGCCTGTTCAACAGAGGGTAAAATTCTCTCATTAGAAATAGGTAATGGTAAAAATAAGTCTACTGACCTGTTGGAAAATGCAGGAAGTGAATGAAGTGATATAATTGCTTCTATGGTATCCCCATCATCTGCTCTTTTCACTT